GTTTAATTTCGGAAAGTGAAGGAACGGAAAATTATAGCCGGGTAATAGAGATAGGAGGTGTAAAAAAAAAAAAAAGCCAAAACTCTACCCAGTTTTAGCCCATGCAATTGCATGGTAAACTAAAATGGTATGGCTTTTTGTCCTGCATTATTTGCGGGTAGGACCTGTTCACCTATTATTTATTATTGCTATCTATTCCCCATATTTTACAAACTATCTATGAATTTCAAGTAAGATATTTGCTCTATAAAGAAAGGTCATTCTTTGAATGTCTCTGGACCATCATCTATCGCAAATGCTGCAGCAAACAATTTTCTTCCTTCAGTGTTTCTTTCTGTCAATAAACAACCACTTTCACCAGAAAGTCCATCTGGTTCACCTAGTGTCAAGAAACAAAAGGCGGACCTGCCTGCTTTAGGCTCTCCCAAGAAATTAGTGAATGACCCTGGCAAAGAGCTTACACCGCAGGTCGGAGTAGTCAATAATATCATTGTATTATAGTAGCAATTTATAGGTTTTTCCCTCTGCATGTGGTGCTTTTGCTGAAACTCAACTTTGAATATTGACGTTATGCTGATACTTGTGATGAATGCAGTTCTATTTTCAAAATGGCTGTCCACCCCCAAATGAATTGATATAGGAGTGCTTGTCTAGAATTAATCAACTATTTCCTGTTGACATGAATGGACTCCAAAGCAACGGTGAGAATTACGACATATTCTTGTTTGGCACAGTTGCACCAGACACTGAGGATCTCATTGCTATTTGTTATGTTCTCTTCATACATCTGAAACTTACAACTTAAGATGTGAAAAAAAAAGTTGTGCACCAGTGTCTTTATGCTGTTTATATTTTCATGGATGTTAGAATTCAAACGAGTTACAAAGGAAATATGCAAGCTCCCATCATTCTTCTCCACTGCACTTTTTAGAAAGATTGACATCAACTGCACCAGCATTTTGACCAGGTAGATGTCATGTTATTATTTTCCTTTCTTTCCTTTCCTTTTCTTTCTTTTCATGTATGCACCCAAGTGAGAAAATATTGTCTCACACCAACTCCATCCAAGAAAAAATTAGTTATATTATTCATTAGTTCAATCACACTTAACCTTACTTAACCACTTTAGTTTTGAATGAGGAAGCCTATTGTATATGATTGTATACTGTTAGATTTCTCTCTGTCCTTTCATATATGGTCACAAATGAGAAAATATTGACTCACACTGGATAGTTACGAGAATAAGGTAGTTTTATTAGGTGCATGTTCTATCACATTTACGCCTCTAACTTCTCATATACCTTTTTGTTCAATCACATTTACATTTCTAACTTCTCAAGTACCTTGAATTACGAAATAAGTTTTATGTGCAAAAGCAATTATTTGTTTTTGATTAATTTCGAAATACGTAGTAAAAATTATATGAACTTGTGTCTCTTATAATTATAAAGGGAAAGACTCTAGTTATAAGGTTACAAATAATCAAAATTGGAAAGCTAAAACTACCTACCATAATCTTCCCTAGTAAGAGTTGTTATAATAATATGTTCAGCACAAACAAAAGAAAACTAGATTGAATATTCTAAATAAGGAGACAAATATATAATCCAGCTTGTCTAAGATAGACTGAACCAGTAAAATCAAATATTTTGACATGTAAGAGGAGGTGGAAGCTTCAATACAAAAATAAAATAATTAATAAGATATAAGAGACTCAAAACTATGCTTGTAATAAAATATAAACCACGGCGAAAGTTCACATAAAACAATTTAGTAAAAGTAAATGCCTGAATTGCAAATGAAAATAAATAAATCATCGAAGTAACGAATAATAAATCAATAGAAAGGGATGTGTTTATTAGCGGTGAGAATTGTTTCAGATATACTTCTAATCCATAATCACTTTATTGAAGCTTTTAAGCCATACTTATGCACTTGAATCTTCTCGCATTAGTCTCCACAGAATTAGATGTGTCTATTGTATATTGGATCAACTGCAACTCGTTCGTAAATTCAAACTTAACTTCTGATGCTAAACACCAGCATTTACTGCATCAGTCAAAGTTACTGGTGGTTGACTCGTGCATATATCCTGGATTAATTACTGCTTTTACCAATCATGTTTAGATTTGATTCATCCTCTCTTAGGCTCTTACGTTGTCTTCCAATGTGGAAATAGAGATACATTTGTTGACTTTTGGATTATCGGCAACATGTTGATAAAAGATATAGCAGCCCGGATATAAACAATCTTGAAGCAGTCCAATCTTAAATACTTAACTCAGGTTATACGAGTACCAATAATGATATATGTTTATAGAAAATTAAGTTTAGCAGCATCATTAATACTAGTCAACTTGATACTAGGATGACTTTAAACCTGTGCTCGGGGAACTTTTGGCATCTCATCCAGGGTTGCAGTTCTTACAGAGTACATCTCAATTTCAAGACAGATATGGTATGTTCTAAATCATTTGCTCGACTTTGTGTAGTGACTTTGATCAATTTGGTTTGAATTACTTAGCTATATGTTTTGAGTAATTTTTCTGATTGCTTATTACTATTGCAATAATATAATTCTGTTAGCGTCTACATTAATCTCTGCTGCCAGGCTGTCACAATCACCAATACCACCTCTGCACTACTGGTACACTTGAAAATCTTGTCAATTATGTATTATTAGTTGCTGATATGGATTACTAACAAGTAATTCATCAACCCAATTGAAACAAAATGAAGTTCTATTATACACTTGAAATTGGGGCAAGTATGGTAAAAAATATACCATTAATGTTCCTTCTTTCTATTTCTCGTCATCGTGTTGCATGCTGTTAATTATAAAGCAAGATAACAATCATAAATTGTTGGCTGACCTTTCGATAGCTGGTCCAATGTTTATGATTGCTTTCCATACTTTCTAGTGAGATCGCATTGCTTGCAATAATCAGGAGGTAAG